AGTAGCTGGAGTTTGTAACTTACCTACAAAGTAAGGAACTGCCACAATAATACAACTTGCGCAGAAAAATGTCTTCTTCCAAACACTTCGAATACTGAACTAAAGAACACCTGAAATTTACTGAAAAGGTGGCGGTAAAACTCATGAGAGGAGGGGGAGATATTTAGGAAAATAAAGGATAATTCGTTAGGGCTCTACCCGCTCTGAGAAGGCGCGTACCTGTTTACCGGTACTTGTAATTCCCAGATCTAAGTTTGTGGTTTAAGTACAATAGGTTCTGTCCCTTCTAAGTAAGGTACACAAAAACAAGGATATTGAGTTATTGTGTTATTACATGTACTGACCATTTGGCATTTTTATTTCTTTTTATATAATTAATAATTTTATTTTAGAAGTGAAAATTTTGTTTCCATGGCCCTCCATTTTTCCAAATTTTGTCTGCGGCCCCACAGTGGGCCATATGGCCCCTGTTGAGAACCACTGATCTAGACAATCGGCTCAAAGATGGCGGTAAGATTGTCAGCCTTACGCGCTTTACTCCCCAGGAAAATTATTTAATCAATTCCTGGTACTCATTTCTGTTAGAGGCTGAGTCGACCCCAGGGCCATAGTGCGGCCGGAACGATTAAGTCAATTGAAAAAAATCCAATGACGTCATCGGGACTTGAACCCGCGACCTTCCGGCTTGTAGCATAATATCATTACCTTCCTTCATTACTCCGTTACTTTTCAACCTTACACGATCATTTGAAACTCGAGGTTTATAATGAATCCTCGCAAAGAAGACTGTATTGCTATAATTTTATCAATTGGCACAAAACGAAATATTAAGCGCCCAAGCTGGATGAAAAACTGGTTACAAAAACGTGAAAAGTATTCCCGTGTTGTTCTGATAAAAGAAATTGGTGCGACGGAATCAGATGATTACAGAAAATATTTTCGTATGAGTGAAGGAACATTTGATAAGTTGCTGAAAATGGTCGAACCATTTTTAATACGGAAAGATACTAATATGAGGGAGAGTTTACCAGTGAATGAAAGATTAGCAGATACCCTGAGGTAACTGGCTACAGGAAGAAACTTCGAAGACCTCAAGTTTTCAGCTGTCATGTCACCTGCTACAATAAGCGTTTCTGTTGAAACATGTGAAGTGCTTATATACGTTCTGCAAGAGTATATGAAGATAAATCCTCTTATGTATAATTGTTTTGTATCATTGATTTTCTTATTCTATAAGTTAAAATTCTAGTACAGTATGGTATATTCAAAAAATATTTAAAAACTAGTTAAAATTATTTATTAGAATACCATATCTTCAAGAATGAAACACAAAAATTCTATTGAAAAGCGTGTGACTAACGAAACATGAAACTAGAAATGAAACTGTTACAGAACATAAAGGATCATAATTAGGGTTTAAAGTTTGTAAAGAATGTAGGCAATGCATCTTCTTGTTCTTCAGCTGGTGAAGAACAAGTGGAGGTATCAACAGATGAAAAGGATTGAAATGATGGGTTTCTTACAGTGAGGGGAAAGAGGTTAGCGACAAAATTGTCCCATACAAGGTATCCTTGTTGATTTTCACAGAATATCTGTGTAAAGTGCCTTGACTTGCCTCAAAAATTATATCACTAATAGCTTTCTCAGCTAAATCACCTGACTGCATCTGGGTCTGCATGTTGACAAGCAAGTATGTAACCATCAACCCTGTGGTATGGCCATGAAGCTAATAGCAATGCCTGGAAAAATAATAGTTTCGTCACTCGTTATTGTTCATAGTAGGCTGAATACAGCTTAATTACAACAGAGTCTGAAACAACTTCATAAAGTGGAACCACAATAGTAAATGCATAGGGCAGTGCTGACTAGCTAGCACAAGTAAGCTAACAAACAAGTACACTGTGATGCACTGGAGTTACAAAGCTGACCATGAAGAGTAACCCCTTCTGGGAAAATAATATCATGTAGTCCAATAAAAGCTCATTTTGCAGGATCCCACTGCCTCCATCTTCAGAGTCAAAAGTAGAGTAAGCAAATGCCAGTGCACTTCTACCAGACTATATTGGTACATTCCAGAAGACTGTACTGCGCGTTACATTTCTGGTTCACGTTATCAAAGAATTCAAATTCATTAAATCAATTACACCACATAACCTCCAACCCCAAGATGAAGAGTAAGAAAAAGCAAGCAGGTTGTTTGCCTACAAAAACTCTTGCTATGCCCAATAAATTGAAAAAATCAATTCTAACAAGGACAATATACCAAATATTAATACACTCAACTCTCGATTATCCGGGGGTGGATAAACCGGTTTGTGGCTTAACCGGGGCTTTTTTGAGGCTTACATGTTGTTTAATATTCATTCACTTTTGTTTCACATGGTGAGTTGTAACACTATTTTCGCACTAGTGTGAACTGAGCTCTGCATTTTTTGGTCCCGTTATGCTAACACAATGTTCTAGGGTAGGGGTGAAAGAATGCAAGGATTTGTGGAAAGTTTCAAGGACAGGTAGACCGCCCCAGTTAGTCTCTTTGTATCGATCTTCAAGTGTTAGCAAAATGTCAGGGTGTAAAAGGAAGCGTGTTGTGTTAAGTATTCAACAGAAACTCGTGTGAGCCGGGCTTCGAAATGTTAAGCAGTGACTAAATCGTAAGTTCAGTGGGGGTGCAGCCAGAAGAGCGGGAAGAAAGTGAGAATGAGGAAGAGGTGGACAGTGCTGCTAGTAAGAAAATATCACATGGTGCTGCACTTAATCATTTGGAATCCTTACTAGACTATCTTGAGAGTGAAGAGAACAGTTTATTAAGTGACAAGCTAATATTATGTAGGCTTCATACGGATATCCGTAAAAAGGAAAAATTCCTTGAAAAAGCAAATGACAATATTAAATTTTTTTAAGTGTTAAGTGTGAATATTCATAAAAAGTGTTGAATGTTTAACACTGTGATTGAAATAACTAATTCATACTTCAGTGTAATGTTAAAAAAAAGTATTAAATAGGCCACGAGATACAAAATGAGGTTGAATAAATTTAAATACAGGTAGGCCTATAGTATTATGAAGGTACAGTATTACAGTACTACTTTTAATAAAATTTGTCTTAACCAGGTTTTCGATTAATCGTGATTTCCATCCCCACCATTATCCAGGATAATCGAGAGTTGAATGTAATTGAAAGATCTTAAATTTAGGTTTGTACACAAATATTTTAAGTATCAAGAAGACTGATGGATGTGTACTGGACATGAAATTGTTAACTTCCCTCTACACATTTCACTATGACAAATATTTAGATATGCTCAGAAACACATGTTTCTACATGACATCATGAGTATGTATCTTGATAAAAACACAAGGCTCAATCATTTCTTTCTTTAAGTTCTCAAGTAATGCACAAATATCTGAGAAGAGGAATGCATATAGGATATTGGTGGGAAATCCACAAGGAAAGAGACCAGTATGAAGACCAATATGTAGGTGGGTGGAGAATATTAAAATGAATTTAACCTTTGGAGGGCTTTTGTGTACACGGTACTGAACCTTCGGGTTCCATATAATGGTGGAAACTTCTTTACTGGCTGCACAATTGGCAGCTTCTCAAGAAGAGCTCAGCTCTGTGAGTGAAGTTTTCAAATAATGAATGTTTTACAAATTAATTCACTGGTTCTCAAGTTATAATGTGTGTATGCATGGAAAGACAAACTGAGCAAACTTTAACAGCTGCTCCACAAGGTGGAAATTGCATCTAAGAACTGATTAAATAGAATGCATTACTGCAACAAGACTTGACAATATAAATCAGGCAGTTCTTGCAACTGCCCCCTGAAACCTACACAAATCTCCGCACAACTTCAGCAGATTTCTTCCCACACCTTATTTCAGAATAAAAAAAACAACATGTAAATGGTGCACATATAAATAAAACTCATTCTAGTGTTAAGATGTTTTTATTTCACTTTTCACAATGTTTCCTCAAAAGAAGAAACCAAGAATTTTCCCCCCAAGATGTTTCCTTCTTGCTTCCTCATGATCCATGATTCCACCGCTTGTTGTCAACACAACAAACCTGAAATAATAAGACACATTTTACACACTGAAAATGCACACAAAAGCTCAGCATACCAATACAGTATACTTCCAATTATCTGTACCAATGAAAGGGAGACACGCACGAATAAATGGGACGAGGAAGAGAAGAAACAACAGATAATCTGAGACAAAACTAAATACAGAAATTAGGAAACATATGCAATGCCCCCAAACTTTCTTAAGTTCCTCGAAAACCATGACATTTACATACACAGTGTGTCCAGAATCCATGAGGACTTTTTTTTTTTCTTTTTTTGCCCTGCAATGCCATCTGTTGGTGAGTTGTGGGATTAAGAGTCTTGAAGTTTCAGCTGTGGCTGCCTATAATTTCAAAGCACAAGCATCGCTGCATCATGTGTTCTGACCCTGAATGTGACTGTACTGTTCTGATGCTCATCGGAATATGGTGGTTGAACAGAGAGCCAACATCAAATTTTGTTTGAAGTTAGGCAAGACAGCCAGAGAAGTGTACGAAGTGATGAAAACTGTATATGGTAGTGATTGAGTCGCTTGAACATTTTTCGATGGTATGCCGTATTTCCCGACGGCAGTAGGGATATTGAAGACGCTCCACGTGCATCAAAGCCGAGACCAAGTCGCACTGAAGAAAATGTGAAAAAAGTAACTGAAATCCTTGCATCAGACAGATGTGTTTCTGCAAGACTCATTGAGGAGTTTTTGGGAATACCAAAAAGTACTGGGCATCAAATTTTGGCCAAGGATTTGGGCACACGGAAGGTCTGTGCATGGTTTGTACTGCACGCGCTGTCAGGCAATGAAAAACATGCCATAGTGGAACACTGCAAAGACATGTTACAGTTGGCCCAAAGTGATACAAAATTTACAAAATCGATTGTTACTGGTGACAAGACAAGGTGTTTTCAATATGAGCCTCCCACAAAGCGACAGAGTGCAGCGTGGTTGAGCCCAAAGAAGCCGAAAGCAAAGAAAGTGCGCATGCAAAAGAGTCGAGTAAAGACACTGCTAACTGTTTTCTTCAATTCCAAAGGAATCATTCACAAGGAATTTCTGCCAGAAGTTCAAACAGTGAATTCTGATTATTGAAGTTCAAACAGTGAATTCTGATTATTGAAGTTCAAACAGTGAATTCTGATTATTATCTCTGAGTCCTCAATCATTTGTGGGTGAGAATTCTTCGAATTCGACCTGAATATCAAGAGCAAGGTTCCTGGTCGCTCTATAACCACACCATGACAGAACCAGTATTCATTTGGGGAGTGTAACCGCTCCACTGTCGCTCACTAGTATAATTAGAATGATCAGTAACAAAAATTAACTACAGATAACAAGTAATACCCAAGCCAGTGGGACATAGTCACATTCTTGTTTTCAGGAATGGACTTATCCCAAACCTTGATGCTACACAGGAAGTACTCCCCTGTGACTTTTTCCTAGAAATTTTGTTTGCAAGTAGCATGGCGGCAAACTTTGAGAATTCGATCACTGACAGGTCCTGCGCATCGCAACTTAAAAGTAGGCGGTTTTGAAACCCAAGCCAAGCGGGTTATCTGTCAGTGTACCGTCAAAAAACGACATTAGGACTTTAAGGTTCAAAGTCCCAAACTACAGCTAGCTGACTGGAGATCCAGAAATTGTGTGAACTCCTAATTTTCTAAATTACCCAATCAGTGGAATTAAAGTGGAAGTGACTGGGCTGAGGAACTGACGGCCAGGGTACCTCAGTGTTTTCAGACAAAGAGTCACAAAACAGTCGCAAAGGCAGTCACAAGTGAGTGGCTTGCTACTCGTGACAATTTAGAAACAAAATCTGTGTCTCCACTGTTCTGGACAAGCCCAAATGCAAAGTGCTAGAGTGTAAATTGTGCTAATAATGTCCGTTATACCAGGACTGAGCTATATAAGGACCTATATATAAGCATCCTTTATATTGACTGTGTGTGTGTCATCAGGTGAAGGAAAGTGTTGATCTCAATAAATGGTCACGGTGTTTAAGTGCAAAGTAACACTGAACCAACTAGTTCCCTCCCCGTCCTAAGCGAGGCCCTAGCAAACGCTTTGAGAAGGATCTCAGCTTTACCCACAGCTGAACTAGTTGACTATCACCTTTACCCACTTTCCAAAATAAACCTACAACTATTGTAAGCCAACAGCACCTGAGCTTACTGGCGCCCAACCTAAGTAGAAGAAGAAAGGAGAGGAGCGACGAACAATGTGTGACTAACCAACCAACAAAGGGGGAGTGAAGGTGAGTGAAGTGCAATTAGGGAGGAAAGTGTCACTCAACAAAGTAGAGCAAAACGGTTACAGCTCCTCCATGACAATGCCCCACCCCACAAATCGAAGATCGCGCGTGATTTTTTGGCCAGAAAAGGGATCACAGTCCTTGATCATCCTCCATATTCGCCAGATTTGGCTCCAGAAGATTTCTGGTTGTTCCCAAAAGTTAAGTTGGCGATGAAAAGAGACCATCACAACACCATCCAGGACATCCAAAGGGAATCTACCGCAGTTTTAAATGTGATTCCACAAAAGGAGTATAGTGAATGTTTTCAAAAACTTTTCAATCGATTCCAGCTATGTATTGATTCAGAAGGAGACTATTTTGTATAAAAAGAGTGAAATTTTGAAAATAATTCACATCTTGTATGTTTAATGAACACAGTCCTAACAGAACCTGGACACACTGTAAGTGTAATTAAATATAATGTGTGTAATGAACATATGAAAAGTGAAATGACTCAACAATTTTGGTACAACTAACATTGTGAGCCAGAATAGCGTAGTCGGTATAGTGACTGGCTACAAGCTGAAAGAATGACGGGTCAGAGTTCAAGTCCTGGTAGGGGCAAGAATTTTCTCTTCTCCACATAGTACAAACCACCTCTGGGGGCCACCCAGCCTCCTGTCCAATGGGCAAAGGGGGCTCTTCCCTTGGGGTGAAGCTGACCTCCAGCTAGTGCTGAGGTCAAGAAAATGTGGATTTATGCATCCACACCCCCATATGTTTTCATGGTGTAGTGTTTAATTAGTTAAGTACAGTGACAACTTCTAACGTTACCTTTTACTGCCTAACATATTTCCAGTGGTTCTTGGAATATTTCATGTGCAGGGATGGATGGACTAAGCAAAGTTAACAGGCACTCCAGAAAGTTTGGAACAAACCCCTGAAGGCATACGAATAATCTGTACATTGGTAATCAGGAATATACTGTACTTAAAGGTATTTTAAGATTCATCATATTACCCAACCTTGTGTAGCAATTTCATCGTCTGTGCCGTTTACGAATGACCATGAAAACAACTAGTATGTAGGATAACTCATATATTATAACATACCCAAACTGGCGAGAAGGAAGAAGGTTGTTGGTCCATTTCTCAATATCGTTGATGGGGACATCAAACCTTGGGGATATAACTCCACATTTGTTTAGTCTCCCAGTGAGGTTAACAACTATTTTACCCGAACGATGATCATCAACAATTTCAAATTCACCAATATAACCTGCCACAGAGGAATAAAATCATATGGAATCATTACCACTGAACATTGAAGGGACACAAGCTTAACAGGGACAGCAAAGGGGACTGCTCACTCAACATTTTCACATCTACCACATGCAATAATGTACTTCACACTTCAACACCCATTTCAAAACATGTCTCTTATGTGAAAATTTTGCATGTCTAAGACATTCCTACTTTCTCACTATGCCCAGCATCAAGGAACCCTAGTTCTTTATGGGGCAGATTCTCTGTCAGTTTGTAACTTCGATGAACATTAAATGCACAGTTTTAATTTCTATGATCCTAGCAGTGTTTAATTCAATTCAAAAAAGGATATAACCTGTCAACGGCCAAACTATTGGTGTTTACTGACCCTATTTCAGATGATAAAGTTTAATACTTCACAGGTGGATAATACAACAGCAAAAACATATATGACCCACTCCATGAAAATTACATAAATAATACAAATAAGCACAAAACTTAAATATTTGCCATAACAAAGAGCCTTGCATATAACAATTATAAATTATACACAATATCTGAATACTTCCACCCATATGTTTTAATACTTCACAGGTGGATAATACAACAGCAAAAACATATATGACCCACTCCATGAAAACTACATAAATAATACAAATAAGCACAAAACTTAAATATTTGCCATAACAAAGAGCCTTGCATATAACAATTATAAATTATACACAATATCTGAATACTTCCACCCATATGTTTTAATACTTCACAGGTGGATAATACAACAGCAAAAACATATATGACCCACTCCATGAAAACTACATAAATAATACAAATAAGCACAAAACTTAAATATTTGCCATAACAAAGAGCCTTGCATATAACAATTATAAATTATACACAATATCTGAATACTTCCACCCATATGTTTTAATACTTCACAGGTGGATAATACAACAGCAAAAACATATATGACCCACTCCATGAAAACTACATAAATAATACAAATAAGCACAAAACTTAAATATTTGCCATAACAAAGAGCCTTGCATATAACAATTATAAATTATACACAATATCTGAATACTTCCACCCATATGTTTTAATACTTCACAGGTGGATAATACAACAGCAAAAACATATATGACCCACTCCATGAAAACTACATAAATAATACAAATAAGCACAAAACTTAAATATTTGCCATAACAAAGAGCCTTGCATAGAACAATTATAAATTATACACAATATCTGAATACTTCCACCCATATGTTTTAATACTTCACAGGTGGATAATACAACAGCAAAAACATATATGACCCACTCCATGAAAACTACATAAATAATACAAATAAGCACAAAACTTAAATATTTGCCATAACAAAGAGCCTTGCATAGAACAATTATAAATTATACACAATATCTGAATACTTCCACCCATATGTTTTGACCCCAAAAGTCACCAAAGGGCTATAATGTACTGTCCAAAACTGCTATTTAATATCCAAATTGTTAATATTGGTCAATACTCTGAAAAGCTTCATTACTGAAACTAGAATTAAAATTCCCAAACGCAACGCTAAAAATATTTAATATTCCTCTCACCATAATGGAGCATACAAGTACACTACTTGCATTTAACATTTCATACACAGAATTACCATGCTGAATTTTAGGTCCAATCTATATTATATAACAAAAAAAGTAAATAGTAAACTGCTGAAGGCTTCATTACTGAAACTAGAATTAAAATTCCCAAACGCAACGCTAAAAATATTTAATATTCCTCTCACCATAATGGAGCATACAAGTACACTACTTGCATTTAACATTTCATACACAGAATTACCATGCTGAATTTTAGGTCCAATCTATATTATATAACAAAAAAAGTAAATAGTAAACTGCTGAAGGCTGCTAAACTCTTAAAAACAAACAATTATATTGGCCACTTCCTAGTGACACAAAACTTTGTCCCTTACTTTACAAAGGCCGCACTGCTTACCATGCTTCATCATTACTGTGAGAAACTTAATAATAACCCTGGACGACGGCCTTAAGAGAACTTGTCTCTTCCCCCGCTTTTCAGCATTGTTGATAGATTTCAACGCATCACTCAATACGTTCATGCGAACCATCGCTAAAATCAGAACGACAGTTTGTATTATAAAATAAAGTACACAAGTCAACCATTACACTTCACATGGCAATTTTAATTTATTACAAAACGTAGGAAATACGTATACGACTATACAGTAGCATTATTGAGGCCATTTTAAAGGCACCAAACATGAAACCTAATAAATTTCGGCAAATAAGTATGTTTGCTATTACCGCCTAGTTTTGCGACAAACAGCCAACGTGCTCCTCGAACTATTCCACGCAAAAGGAAGCGACTACCGCCATGTTATGGCGTCAAGCGTTCTGAAGCAGTGTCACCACACACACTGAATAAATCATACCACTGTCTATTACACGAAGGTAAATTACACAAAAATAACATGTATGACAGTTACAGTAATTTCTGTTCTACAGTACTATCTGCAAAGTATTGACTCGCAGTAAAGTGTACGCTAGTCGTATTTAAGAAATCACCCAATCAATAACGTAATGGCTGAGCTGTCAATGTTGCTAAAACTGTGATGGTAATATGTGACGAGTGAACAAAGTATTGCAAATGGAAAGCTCACACGAACTACAAATATCCTTATACACCTAAATACATTAAATAGTTATATGTTAGTTAAGTCCATTATTACACGTCAGCATTTCTAACAATTACAGTATTCCAAAAAGAATTTCGCTAAGGTTCCACCCAAACGTTCTGGTCAGGGTGTAAAAAGTGCAAAGGCTATGTCATTATGGTGTACCCATAAGACCATGCAAAACAGAAAATGTTTGGGATATGATACTGTAGTTTCGTAGATCTACTGAATAACAAATGGAGGCACGCAGTAGCATAGTTGGTTGAAGGACTAAGCTACAAGCTGGAAGGTCCCGGGTTCAATTTCTCATGAGGTCACCCGAATTTTCAATGACCTAATCCTTCCAGCCGCACTATAGCCCTCAAGTCCACTCAACCCACTAACAGAAATGAGTACAAAGAATCTTCTTGGGGCTAAAGAGTGGCCGGAACATAAGGCTAACAACCTCACTGCCATCTGTGAGCCGACTGTCTAGAAAATGAAGCCTTGATGTCTCACAGTCCTATGGTCCTTCATTGCCTGTTACAGAAATATCTTTTTACTTAACTACAAAGTGTCACATCCCAAGATATAACTTTAATTACCCCCTGCTGTGAGGTCAAAAAAAATTGCCATTACCTACCATCACAAGGGTATGCATCTTCTAAAACAATCGCACACATTTACGATAATAAGCACAGCATACTTTAATGATTTTATAAGTTACAATCAAAGACAATAACAAAATAAATACCTTCTCTATGTCTCTAGGCTGTCATTTAAAACATGGAGAAAATTTTAACATTTCAAATTTGTAATAAATCACAACACATGTTTCATGTTTTCAAACAAACTCATTATGTCAGCATTATGTTAGGAAGAGATACTTGTTAACGGACTACAAGGATTGTGAAGAGATTTTACTTTCTGAGATCCATACAATATTAAATAATATAAACATAACACATATACACACTATGTCAAAATAAGTATTAAGTTACTTAGTTTGTACTCTCCATAAATACCTTTTAAACTGTATTTATGATATACATAAAGCCACAAAAACGTTTTGGTATTTTTTTAAAAGCAGTAAGAATTGTCATATATCTTATAAAAATTATCCATATATAAAAGAGTTAATGCTGCTTTTATTACAGTACACATTATTGAACACTTTGAAGTTTTCCACCGACTATCTGTCACCAGAGCTGAGAATTCTGACGACTAACAGACTTACAACTGTCGCAGCTGCAATTCCAAGCCCTACCTTCCACCACACAATTGAATCACCCATCAGGAGACCCAGCTGTTTTAAATGTCTGTAACATATACACATGGGTAAATTACAAATATATATATTGAAAAGTACATTAGTATCATATCAGTACATCACTCTGAATGAAAATGTAAATAATAATTATGTTAAGATACAGTGATTTGATCTGGATACCCTCCATATTAGAGTTCTACCAAAAAAAAAAAAAAAGGCTTCCATTCAGGATACATGATCTAAAAACATTTTAACTGTGATGAATATTACATTTCTCAAACTTCTCTTGAAAAATTACACTGTGAGATGCAAAGATCTTGTCTCTATTCGTGATAACTCTTCGTTCTACAAACATAAGTACATTTCAAAACACCAGAAATAAATTATCTGCAGCTTATTCACCAATGTTACCAACAGCTTAGATGATTAATAAATAATAACATGAAAAAGGTGTGGAAGAAAACAATTATGGCATAATTTCAGGTACTTTCCTGGTATTTGCCTATCGAAACTTATAGAAAACCATGAAAAACCTAAAATCAGGAAAGCATTCCATAGGTTGATGTTTATAACTGCAAACTTTCAAACATGAATCCAGAATTCTATCTGCTGGATTGCTGTGTTTGGTGGAATATAATTTTGATGACAAAAATGAGGTGCCCCTAGGTTGAAGCAATATGCCATCAAGAGGTACAGGCACCACAGATGCAAAGATCCATGCACTGAGAGATATCAGTAGCAGATGGAGCTGAGGGTCAGCACTGTGATCTTATCTTCACCCCTGCAGCAAGTTCCAGCAATGGTCTATCAGCAGAGAAGCTACGACAATACTGAGACATAACTGAGAAGAGAAAAATAACCAATATTCCTATCTAGGATCAAACAGAGGAAAAAATGGGAGTACAATGAGACAGTACATCAGCGATTCATAGACTTCAGGAAAGCCTATGATTCAGTTAGGAGGGAAGTATTGTACAATATTCTGATAGAATTTGGGATACCCATGACACTAGTTAAGCTGATTAAAATGTGTTTAAACAAAACTTATAATAAAGTCCGTATAGGTAAACATTTGTCTGATAAATTTCTTATCCAGAATGGTCTAAAATAATGAAATGCTGTATCGCCACTCCTCTTCAACTTTGCTTTAGAATATGCCATTAGGAAGGTCCAGGAAAACCACGTGGGACTGAAATTAAACGGGACACATCAGCTGTTGGTCTATGCTGATGATGTGAATCTACTGGGTGATAATATAGATACCACAAAGAAAAAGAAACCAACTTTAATTGACACAAGTAAGGAAGTTGGTCTAGAAGTAAACACAGAGTAAACTAAGTATATGTTGCCGTCTCGTCACAAAAATGCAGGGCAAAATCATGACATAAAGATAGGGAACAGATGTTTTGAAAATGTGGCACAGTTCAGATATTTGGGAACAACAATAACAAACCAAACCTGATTCAGGAGGAAATTAAGGGGAGGTTGAACTTGGGTAATGCTTGCTACCATTCAGTCCAGAACCTTTTGTCTTCTCGTCTGCTGTCCAAAAACATAAAAATTACAATATACAAAACTATAATTTTGCCTGTGGTTCTGTATGGGTGTGAAACTTGGTCTCTGACATTAAGGGAGGAACACAGACTGAGGGTGTTTGAGAACTTGGCGTTGAGGAGAATATTTGGACTGAAGAGAGATTAAGTGACAGGAGGTGGGAGAAAACTGCATAATGAGGAGCTTCATATCTTGTACTCTTCTCCAAGTATAATCAGAATGATCAAATCAAGGAGGATGAGGTGGACAGGGCATGTAGCACAAATGGGGGAGACGAGGAATGCATATAGGATATTGGTAGGAAAGCCAGAAGGAAAGAGACCACTGGAAAGACCAAGGTGTAGGTGGGTGGACAATATTAAAATGGATCTTAGAGACAGGACAGGATGGTATGGATTTGGCTCAGGATAGGGACCAGTGGAGGGCTCTAGTGAACATGGTAATGAACCTTCAGGTCCCATAAAATGCTGGGAAATTCTTGAGTAGTTTCAGAATTGGGGGCTCCTCAAGAAGGGCTCAGCTCCATGAGTATGTAAGGATCAGACAGAGATCGTCTAGTTTATAGCAAGTCCATCTATTGATACTGATATATCAAATTGAAATAATTTAACTTCCTTACTGTGAAATCACTGAAGTGCTGGGTCAGAGATGAGCTCCCAGGCTTGAAGACTGAACATATTATAATGTGCTACTTGGTCAAGGCTGTCATACATATCAGGAGGCTGTGATAAATAGGTTAGAAGCAATGGTGGAAATAGCTCATTTTAAACAGCAGAAAGTTTGACAATGTAAGCTCACTTTGTTAAGATTCAAAGAGAACTATACCTATTAAATATTAAAGATGTCTTACACTCAGTACATCTGTGTGTATTTATTGACATCTCAACATCTATAAGCATTTCAATGTGAAGGACCTCATGATGAAAGAGGCACTGGCCTCCACGTGTAGATATTTGTGCTTGCCAACATACTCCACATTTCAGGGAATCAAAAGTGTATGAGTATGGAGAAAAATGGGCTTTAACCACTGCCCTTGGTTTCATCTTATGATTATGAGGAATCTGCCCTTGGGGTGCTCTTTCCTTAGAAATTGGTTATGTTAGTCAGTGTCATTTTATTCACCACAACTTGTTAACACATGCAAGTATTACAGTCAGTTTCATTCAATTAAGAACAATCTCATTAACTCAACTTCAACAAACTTAAATCAGAAATTAAATACATGCAGGAAGAAAAAGTTGGTGCATTCTAACACAAGTCGCTAACCTGGCAAGCTACAAACATGCACCTCTCCAGACTGAACTTAAAAATTATGGTAAAAAGAGTAATGGTAAAGTTATCCCTGTAACACACCATGGAGGCCCATAGGGTTGTGAGGTCGAAGTTTCCACATCTTCTAGACAATCGACTCACAGATGGCGGTAAGGTTGTCAGCCTTACGCTCCGGCCACCCTTTACTGCCCAGGAAGATTCCTGGTACTCATTTGTGTTAGAGGCTGAGTCAACCCCTGGGTCATAATGTGGCTGGAAGGATTAGGTAAACTGAAAAAATCCACCTCATCAGGACTTCTGGCTTGTAGCATAGTGTCTCAACCAACTATGCTACCGTGTACCCTAGTAAAAACAGTACTCGAGATCTTTCTGAGGGAGGAGTCAAAAATTTTACAAATTTATTTTTACTCACTACCCCTTCAACTTAACAAAAGTTCCACTGTGCCCAACATCATACCTCTGTATGCATATGAAGAACATCTTTTTCAGGTCTTTTTTAATTTTTCTCCTAGAAACCTGGTGGGAGGTGGGGGCTGCGGAGCAGATGTGTGGCTTGCCACCCACCAGTGCCCATGAACAGTAGAGTAATTTTTCTTTATTAAAGTTCTCTCTGCACTGAACACAGCTACATGTATCAAATTACATCTGATCACTAAAAGTAAAGCTATCCCTCTACCAGGCCGTGAAGGCCAATAAGGTTGTGACACGTTGACGGTCCCACATTATCCAGACAATCAGCTCAAAGGTAGCGGTAAGGTTGTCAGCCTTACGTGCCGGCCACACTTTAATCCCCGGGAAAATTATTTAATTAATTCTTGGTACTCATTTCTGTTAGAGGCTGAGTAAACCCCAGGGCCTAGTGCGGCTGGAAGGATTAGGTCAACTGAAGAAATCCAATGACCTCATCGGACTTGAACCCACGACCTTTCAGCTTGTAGCACAGCCCCTCAACCAACTATGCTACCGCGAGCCCCCATCAAGAAAATTAAAACATGCAAAAATTACAATTAACGAAATTCAATTGTCCACAACAGAGTTAGTAACCTTACCTTAGAATTAAATTCCTTTTATTTTGAATTACTGATACACTCATACATGATTACAGCAAAACTGAAATGCCTACCTGCGCCTTGTCTTAGTGAGGATAAAACACAGTCTAAACATGCTACATACAGGTACTCCTCATTATGTGCAAGTTAAAAAATGTGATTTAATTTTAATGCAGTAAAGTAATTTAATCAATCTGAATTTGATTTGGTTCATTCTGGTCCATCAATTTGGATTCACAAAACTTGCTTTAATGCGAATTGCCTGCTGGCTGATCAAGAACAGTGGGAAGGGATGTGACGTACTTGTGGGAGGCATGGAGTGAGGGGGAAAATCTGGGCCAGCGATGCAACCTCTTCTGTGCACCTACTGTTGCCTTAGAAGTCAGAGGCTGGGGCGCAGCTACAAGTCAATGGCTTCTCAGTGAGGTCATGACAAGCAGATCATCAAATATTTCTTGTGAAATCTTATGTTAACATCAATGGTAACAAATGGGAAACATACTATTGCTGACTTCTCTCTTCAATCAGTTCAATCCTCTTGTCTACCATTGGAATAACCTGTTTCATCATCATCAACCATTTTCCTATACAACTCAATGGCTTAATCAGGTCACTCACGCATCCAGTTATCAACTCACCTCCTGTGAGACTGCAGAGTAAAAAGTTATTCCTGTAACTGGCCATGGAGGACTGTAGGATTGTGAGACATCGAGTCTCCCACATTTTCCAGAAAATTGGCTCACTCATGGCAGTGAGGTTGTCAGCTGGCTATCCTTTACTCCCAGGATGATTCCTGTTACTCATTCCTGTTAGAGGCTGAGTCAAACACAGGGCTATTGTGCAGCTGGAAGGATTAGGTCAATTAAAAATCCAATGACCTCATCAGGAGTCAAACCTGTATCCTTCCAGTTTGTAGCACAGCGCCTCAACCAACTATGCTGCTGACTGCCCTGAGACTACAGAGTGTTAATTTTTATTATTTCTTTATTATTAATATAAACTGCTCCCGCCATCTGAAAACAATCTAACAATGTTTAAAATTCTTCTTATGTGTTTCTTACTGTTTGAGTGAGTGAGACAGACAGAGGGGATGTATGTGTCTTTGTGTCTTGTAATAACTGGACCAGTCATTATGACTCAGGGGTGTATTCACAACTTACATCTTCCGACATTCCCTCTTTAATGTTATGACACTCTCGCTCTGCTATGCTTGGTGAAGTGTCTTCTGCTCTAGTCGGATGAGAACTCTTCCGTTCTCACGCCGAGTACCAACTCTACTCTTCTAAGGTCAAATACAAACTGAACTAGTCTCTTGTCACAGTGGGACTCTTATAACTTGCACTCGAACTCAATATGGAATACCATGTCAAAGGATTAACCTCACCCGCTGCTATGCAAAAGCTGCTTCAAACAATTTGTGTGTAACAGTGAAAACTCCACTATTAGACTGCTAACTGTTGTATAGCAACGGATGTGTTCCGATTGTAGCACTGTAGCGGGAACACTGGTCATTGCCTAGGAAATCAATGCTGATCTCCTCAACCATTCCAGCTTTCTGGCGGCACACCACATTGCTCCCTCCTAAAGGTTGTTCATCCCAAACAGCCTAATGGTACTTCCCTTTCTTTCATCCACCCCTTCCTTCAAGGGTGCTCATCTCAAGCAGCTCCATGGTACTTCCAGTCGCTCTCATGTTGTCATCTTTCTCTGGTTGGCCTCTATCTGTTCTTGGACGGCTCTCATATCGGCCATCATCTCCTTGTGGCTGGCAACCATTTTGGCCAGCAGGAGCTCTATCATTTGTTGCAGATCCATTCTATAGTGGTGTAATACTTGATGTGATCCAATAATTCATCCTAGAATCCGATCCTATCCCACTTCTGACACCAGTTGTCACATGTTTGCTAGGCAACGTGACAAGAAATTTTGTGGGTTTCGGATTTAAATGAATATTTACTGGACAGTCACTTTTACACTCACACTTACAGTTATTCACAACTTATAACGTCCTTCAGACATTTCCTCTTCAGTGCTACGACACTCTCGCACCACTATTCTAGGTGAAGTGTCTTCTGCTCTAGTCAGATGAGAACTCTTCTGTTCTCTTGCTGAATACCAACTCTACTCTTCTAAGGTCAAATACAAACTGAACTAGTCTCTTGTTGCAGTTGGACTCTTATAACATGCAATCAGATTCAATAGGGAATACCATGTCAAAGGGTTAATTCTCCCCACTGCTATCAAAATGCTGCTTCAAAAAACTTGTTGCTTGGATATTGCCAGCCATGGTATAGCAATGGATTTGTTCCAATTCCTAGGCATTGCAGTCACTGGCTAGGATCTCAACTCTAATCTCCTCAACCATTCTGGCTTTCTGGTGGCACGCAACAATATTATTAAAATAAGAAAAAGGATGTTCTATACTTCACAATACAATCAATTTAAGTAATGGCAAGAACATTCTGACACATGTGCAGCATACCTCAAGCATTTCCATTGATTCCTATGGGGAAACAATGTTTGATTTAGGTGACTACATCCTCTGTGACAGTTCTTTGGAACATAGCTGTCAGATTAATTGAGGAGTACCTGTACAAATTTTCTTACAACAATGAAACTCAAGTCACGATGCAAAAAATCTTATGCACATCACATATTAGGAAGTGAAAATTTATTGAACCTGAAACCCTGACTGAACCATTCACGTGGTGAAGGACGTAAGAGAAGAACATGAACCAAACGGCGAAGGTTGCTGTAAACAATACAATATGGAAACTTTACAAACCTGTGCCTGTAGAACAATACCCAGGCAGCTTGGAAACGGCTGCAGGAAAAAAATGTTATTAAAGTCCTGTATCCACTTTCACAAAATGACAATACAGTGGAACCCCATTCAGTGTTCCACAATTTAAGGATGGGATAGCTCAGTCGGTATAGAGGTGGGCTACAGGCTGGATAGTCTGGGTTAGACTTCCAGCAGGGACAAGATTTTTCTCTCCTCCACACTGTCCAGACAGACTCTGGGGAGCACCCAACCTCTTATCCAATGGGTATTAGGGACAATTCGCCTAGAGGTAAAGTGGCAGAAGCTTGAAACTGATCACTCACCTCCACCTAGTGCCAAGGCCAAGAATGGTGGAGATACACCTCCACTCCACCATATGTTTTCATGGCATGGAGCTTAATTAATTGAGCACAGAAGCAACTTTACATCATTTAACAATGAATTTCAGTGATTTCAAGTAAATAAACTTTGTGCAAAATTTCTTCCATTTAAGATTTATTTTTGGTTTAGTGTTCAAATCCAAAGCTCCCCAGAGAAAACCTTAAATGGGGGTTTCACTGTATTTGAATCAATGACATCTTTGCAGTCTGACAACACGGTGATAAATTTCATATTATCACCAACCACTGTCACCATCAGATATACTACACTTCCATCAATATCTCTGGCAATCCCTGAAAACATTTTCTGAAAGTTACTTCAATACAATGGTTACATTACTCTAAATGACTTCAATAATTTCAACATGAGATTGCTTCAATCACATTTTCAGTTCCAGAAAAAACACTGTGCACTGCTTCACCAATGCTGCCACTTATCAAACTGAAAAAATAAAGTATATTGTGGTCTTCTTTGTGACACTGTAGTCTTGTGGATCATTACCAGTTCTTTCAAAGCAACACAGTGCCTTCATCTTAGATAACACTACTCAGTGTCATAACCTGAAAACCACAATATGGGTCTTGAAAACTATGAAAACCTCTAACCTCACATCCATTAGGATACTTCACACACTGTAAAACTGTTCTAAGGGAGATATACTGCATATAACCATACGAACCACAAACACTATTAACAACATATGTGGTGTGTTCAAAAAGGATCGAACCTTTGGTCGGCAGAAATACATTTATTGATTTGGAGGTACAAAACCCTAATCCCCTTCAAAGTAGTCTCCTTGATAATGCACACGCTTCTCCCAGCGCGTCCGCCATTGTTGAAAACACTTATGGAACGCGTCTTTTGGAATGGTGATCAGCCGGGCCGTCGCATTCCGCATGATGTCTTCTCTTGACTCAAATTGGGTTCCTTTCAGCGGCATTTTCAGCTTGGAAAATAGCCAAAAGTCACACAGAGCCATGTCGGAGGAGTAGGGAGCCTGACGAAACACAGGGATGTTGTGTTTGGAGACGAAAGTCTGAATCAGATACACAGAATGGGCGGGTGCGTTATCGTGATGGAGCTGCCAAGTTTTTGCTGCCCACAGATCCAGTCGTTTGCGGCGCACAACATCACGAAGGAGACAAAGGACCTCCTGGTAGTATTCCTTTTTGATGGTTTGGCCTTGTGGTGCGTACTCATGACGCACAACCCCACGGGAGTTGAAGAAAACGGCCAACATGACCTTGACATTGCTGCGGACCTGCCGTGCTTTTTTTGGCCTCGGGGATGTCAGATGTTTCCACTGTGATGACTACATCTTGGTTTCCGGGTCGTACCCATAAACCCACGACTTATTGCCTGTGATCATGGTGTTCAGAAAGTTGGGGTTACTGTTTGCATTGTCCAGCATGTCCTGTGCAATTTCCAGATGGTGTTGCTTCTGCTCCATTGTTAGCAGTTTCAGTACGAATTTTGCAGACACTCTCCTTATGCCATAATCCTCGGTCAAAATTGAATGTACCGATCCAATGCTTACCCCTATCTCATTTGCAAGTTCTCGGACTGTGATACGATGGTCCTCCATGACCAAAGTCCACACTTGCTCAATGACATTCTCATTTCGGCTTGTTGAGGGTCTGCCTGAAAGCAGTTTGCTGTTCACTGATGTGCGCCCATCTTTGAAGCAGTTGTACCACTCCTTTATCTGTGAGTTGCTCATGACATCATCCCCTAAGGCCTGTTGAATCTTGTGAATGGTTTCCACTTGGGTATCACCAAGCTTTTGGCAAAATTTGATGCAATATCGCTGCTCATGTTGTTCCGTCATTTTACAGCTTACTGGAATCCGACAAGCGCTCACTACACGTCCTCACTCATAGGCTGACTGCCAATGACTGACGCTTTCTGCGGGTGGGAAAAAATTCACGACCGCACACGAATGTCCCCTCCACATCTCCACCTAAGGGAGCCTCCCGTGCTTCACTGGTTTATGTGGGAAAAAAGAAGGTTTGATACTTTTTGAACACACCATGTATATTTCTTAGCATCTATTTTTCTTTGTTTATTTTACAATGCTGTTGGTACCTGGACTACACAGTTTGGATCTGTAGGGTAGTAAATGAATGACAAATTGAACAGCATTTGGAAGGAAGTGCTGATGCTCTAATCAAAGTACTATCCTTGCATTTGCCTGGAGTGACTGAGTAAAAGCCTCAGTCGTGATAGCTGGATGTCCTAGCTGAGATTTAAACTGAGCACCTCCTGAAGGGAAGTTTAGAACATTACCTCTATTTGTCTTATTTTAGCTTGAAACTCCCACGAAAATGCCCTTATATACTTAACTGAATATGGTCCACTGAACGTTTCAAAACATATTCTTGAAGCAAATATTTTGTTTCTGGACATTACCCTTCATCCTGTTTTTATTTAAAACACAACATGTCAGTGACTGGATTCTGTCTGTCTTCAGGTAAAACCTACTCAGTTGGGCCCAATTGACAGATCTAGTCTCCATCTCCAGACACCTGCACCAACACAAGATAGGGCATACAAACCAAACACAGCAAAAACCATCTGCGTGATCTAAGACAAACATTAAAAAAAACTCCACATATATGAGGCCTAGCTCCAGAGTACTATCATAACAGAAGTCATCACTGGAGAGAGAAATTCTCTGTATGGTACCAACATAAAAAACACATACTTTCCAACCTACATTGGACAGTTATAATTTTTTTTTAGTTCTGCTATGGTAACAGGAGTCCAGATGGGAGAGATGTCCAAGCTGAGTTGACTGATCACAAGGTCTATCAGAGACATGTGGGCAGATTCCTTGTATTTCCTGTGTAGTGCCTCAAATTTGAGATTGGAGAATGTAAGGCATTACCCAAAATGTTCGCGACTTGCGAAAAGCGTTTCACAGTTATTACAGTAATCTGTAAACACCTGGACAGGCAAATAGGTTAAGAATGTTGATGCTCAGCAAGTATGTGTACTCGCCGAGCAAGAAGCTTGCCTCACTTGGTCACTAGAGTAATCGTAATAGACCGCATACACAGCAATAAGACGCAAGGGGTCCGCCCACAACCACCCATGAGAACCAATTAGAATGTTACTATGAGGATTGAGGACACTGGGGGAGGAGTTATCTACCCTCTGTCGTCAACGCTGAATCAGCGAATTAAAACTATAAATTAGGGAATTTCGGGGGACTTAGGATCATGTTCTAACACAGAATATTCAGTTGTCAGCCGGAGGCTCTAGGCGACATGTATACCACAAGAGGGTGGATGACGGCAGTAATCTACATGTGTATTGCAAGTAAGTCTCTTTGCTCATATACGCCATGCTGTTAGATGTTATTGTTGATAAAAGTGTTATTGTGAGATCTCAAGGCAGTCTCCAGTGTACCAAGTGAGAGCCAGGGTAGAACAGGGTAGAAATGAACGGAGAGTGGCAGACGATGATAGGCGTACAGTTTCAAGGCACCTCCCCTCCACAAACAAGGAAGGTAGAATGAGCTTAGCGAGAAGTGTCATGTAAGCAGATCAAAGCAGGCCTTTTTCTTAATGTAATTATTATTGTAAATAGACAGTGTACATAGTGGAAAATGTACGCAGGTAGTTCTGACTCACCCGTTCGTAACCATCCTGTCCTCGACCGATCCCGGGCGACCCTAACCAAGACAGCCGACAGCAGCCGAGTGCAGCCAAGATATTAGGAAAAGAGTAACAACAGACTAAAGTAATTATATTTTCTCACCCCCTCCCCCTGAGGTGTAACATCCTGTATGTGGTGTTTGGGTAATGTCCAGAAACATAATATTTGTATTAATGTACCATTGTCACTAACTTTCAGTCAATATTCTTGAGGATTCCTAAAATAAAGTCAATCCTGATAAACGTATGAGTCAGATTCAGGAAGAATCCCAGTGCTGTTCTGGATCATGATACTGTGCAGTCTAGCAGGTGAGACCAATGTTTTGCAGAACATAATAATGTCTCCATCTTCAGGTAAAAGTAAATCAGGAGAGGATGCTGTCAGGTGACATGGATAGCAGTTACTCAAAATAAAAGGAGGGGAGACAAGATTTGGGCCCTGTCTAGGCTAGCAGAAACAGTGAACATGAACTGAGAAAACAGACCTTTTCAGGACCACTATAAACAGGATCTGACTGCAGTTTCTGATAATTATGTTTCACTGATACTATTGGGCCAGACAGGGCTGTATCTTCTGTCTCCCTCCCACGGTTCTGAGTGTGTGCACGGTTCACTCAAAATGTCATGAATACCTCAGATTATGTAGCACCGAACTGTAGGAAAACTGGTGATTAAAGAAAGGATTTGGGGGGAATCAATCATGGCCTAAGTAAGGAACTAACCTAGTAGAACAACCCTTGCTAATCTGGTTACAGTTAATCCGGATGTTGTATAATCTGGATCAAACTATGAAAAATGCTGTTCATGGATGAATACATACTTTAACGATTAGGGGACGGGCCATTTAAATTCCGGTAGTGGCTGTGGGCCGGAGTTAATTTAAATGCCCGCNCCCCAATTTTGAGCGTCTGTCCATAAAACTGCAGTCAGTTTCTGCCCAAAACGTTTCTGCAGTATAAATGTCTTCTGCTGCTGACATCATTCATACTGGTACTGGCTTATCTTCAAAAGGGGAGGAAATGTTTATGCTTTTATAGCACTCCAACCTTTCTGTATACAGAGTGAGGTCACATCTCTCAGAGACTCTGTCTGTGTATACACTTATCTGCCACACAAGAAGTACTGTTATGCTTCTTAGAAAGGCCCGCACATGGCCCCTTCTTCTACGTACTTTCAGTCTTATGTACCACATTCTAAATCGGTGACATTTATCAGCTGCCTATTAACTTCGGCTTTTTCCATGCGAAATGGGGCCATGGGGGATAGTTGAAATTGCGATGTTTTATAAACGTTATGATTAGAGAAGGCAAATCGGCAACACTGGCTGACTACCTGCTAATACGAGAATGATGCTGCCTGTCTATGCTTTGCGTGGAAAACAGAGTTACATACAGACAAAGTGCATGAATTGCGACGTCGGACTCTGCATTCAGTTACATGAAAAATTCAGTTAAGATGATGCAGGAGGGAAGACTGTCTACTTATAAAGCTGGTGTCCAAAAATAATGTAAAAAGGCCTGCACATGGCCCCTTTCTTCTACGTGCTTTCAGTCTTATGTACCACATTCTGAATGGTGTGATTTACGAGCGGCCTCTCAATTTCGGCTTTTTCAATGCGAAAAGGGGCCATGGTGCATAGTTGAAATTGTGATGTTTTATAAGCGTTATGAATATATGAGACCACTCGCCATCACTGGCCGACTTCCTGCTAATACGAGACTAACATTGCGTGTGCACGCTTCGCATGGAAAACAGAGTTAATTACGGACAAAGTACATGAATTGCAACGTCGGACTCTGCATTCAGTGACATGCAACATTCAGTTAGACGATGCAGGAGGGAAGACAGTCTACTTATAAAGCTGGTGTCCAAAAATAATGTAAGTAGAACAAGAATTTCTATCTTAAAATTAGATTTTAAAACACTGTGCGCACACGTGGACTGCGAGTCTCCATATGGCGTGTTTCGGCCACCTCGGCTTTACTTTAAAGGTCTCCATACGGTGTCCCTTGGCTCATAAAGGTTTAATTTAGGAAGGCAGATGAGTCATTTGTCTGTTCACACAAAACCTGTCACTTTCTTCAAACCTGCATTATCACATTTAAAAACAAGTACAACTTCTGAGCCTTCTATTGATGAACAAATGTACGGTCTTTCTATAGTTTTTAAATAAAGGCTCTATAGTGATATTTTTTATTTATTTCCATCAGAACTACTCATATCATTACATTTTCCATTTATTTGTGTTCTAAGTTTTTGTTCTTTAGGGCTACCTTTTCCTTCACTAATCTGGATTATTGTTTAATCTGGATGACCTCCCCCTTCTAATTACTCCGGGTTAGCAAAGGTTTTCTGTATTCGCCTGAAGGAACCGAGTAAAACAAAAATTTTGTCATGATAGCCAGTGTCTGAGTCAAGATTTGAACCAAGTACTTCCAGAACACAAGCCTAGACTATTACCACTAGACCAGCCTCTCTGGTGCTGTGGTTCTTGAAGGACCTCCGTCTATGTCATCATGTATGCACAACCTGACCACATCCTAACTGCCCTCACTTCTATCCTGAAGACAGAAGCTTAAGTTTCCCCAAAACACACGTATCCATTACATGATATCATAACCAGAACAGCACAATCTGAAATTTCACTCCTGTGAATAGCTGAAATACAATGTCCCCAACTTCTTATTGGTCACTCCACGATACTTTCAAAATTTAGATTGTATTAAATGGCAGGATGACTGATGAACTGGAAAGGATATGGAAGGAAGTCATCATGACCTAATGAAGGTATTATGAGGGTAAGTCAATAAGTAAGTTACAAATGGATATAGAACTTAAACAAATAAGAGTACTGATTTGAAAAATGCTTTTATTTCTCAACATAATCTCCCTGTACATTGAGGCACTTGTCCATCATTTCACAAGCCCCTGAAAACAAGCAGCATAAAATTCTTTGGGCTGCTGTCGGAACCAGGCAGTGACTTCCCTTTATACAGCTTCATTGTCGAGAAAATGTTCAGCCGAAAGATGATGTTTAAGAGGGCCGAACAAATGGAAGTTGCTTGGAGCAAGGTCGGGGTTATATGGAGGATGCTCAAGGACTTCCCACTTGATATTTCGCAGCGTCTCATTTGTCTTGTTGTCAGTATGGGGACACGCATTGTCATGCAAGAGCAACATGCATTTGGTGACGAGTCCTGGTCGCTTCCATTGAATGGCCTTATGAAGTTTCCTGAGGACGTTACAGTGGGAGTCTGCATTTATGGTTTTTCCTTGAGGCTGGAATGCGGTGAGCAGTATGCCTTCATGATCCCAGAAGACTGTGAGCATCACTTTCCTCGAGGATGGTGTCACCTTAAACTTTTTTTGGCAGGCGATGCAGGATGTTTCCACTGCACTGACGCACGCTTTGTCTCAGGCTGGTAATGGTGAACCCAAGACTCATCACCTGTGACAATTTGGGCTAGCATATCACGTCCTTCATCGTGGGAGCAAATAAGATGCTGTAATGTCAGACCCATTCGTTGCATTTTGTATTGTGGGGTCAGCATGCACAGCACCCATCGTGCACAGACTTCGTGAAAACCTAACCTGTCATGCATTATGAGGTAGGCCATGCCATCTGAACAACCAATAGCAGTGGCTATAGTGTCTTTAGTTACTCTTCTGTCTGCTCGGATTAAGTCTTCTACTCGTTGCACATTTGCCTCTGTGGCAATCTCCGTTGGTCGGCCAACGCGATGTTCGTCTTCGATACGTGCCTGCCCTTTAGAGAACTTCTGCACCCAATTGTAAACAGCTTGATGTGACAGGCACTTCTCACCATAGATGGGAAGCATTTCTTTATGAATATTCTTTGATTCCATGCCCTTTCTCCACAAAAGTCGCACAACGGAGTGCTGCTTGAGGGTTGTACACTCAGAGGTGCCGCCATCTTGCAACTGATGTTTCACTTTTCTAAACATCGATAGTCTCATGTCGAATGTCATCAATTACCACCGGACTAATGCTGCCATCCAGTGGCAATAGCCTCAAGTGCCTCATTCAAACATGTAGTACCCCATATAAATTTGTAACTTACTTATTGACTTACCTAAGTACCACAGCATAACAGGGAGGTATAGAGGAAAACCACATGAAACCTCAGTCAGGGTAGCTGATGTCCCAAATGAGATCTGCACTAAGCACCTTCTGATCAAGTCTAGAGCATCACTGCTAGACTAATCTGCTCAGTCTCAAATCTTGTATCTACAGTATACACTGACCATATGTCATAATCATTTATAAAACACATCCTTAAGATACATCATGAAGAAGTTTGACCTCTTTTACATAAATTCAAAAAAGTAAGTAAAGTAAAGCTATCCTTGAAACAGGATGTGAAGGCCCATAGGGTTGTGAGATGTTGAGGGTCCCACATTATCTAGACAATCGGCTCAAAGATGATGGTAAGGTTGTCAGCCTTACACGCCGGCCGCACTTTACTCTGCAGGAAAATTATTTAATTAATTCCTGGTACTCATTTCTGTTAGAGGCTGAGTCGACCCCAGGGCCATAATGTGGCTGCAAGGATTAGGTCAACTGAAAAAAATCCAACGACCTCATCGGGACTTGAACCCACGACCTTCTGGCTTGTAGCATAGTGCCTCCAATACAACACAATATACAGTACTTACGGGAAGGCAGCCATGGTTGATAGTTTCACATACAGATCTCTTTTGACTGCACCAGATGCACTGAATGGGTGCGGTGGTGGCAACTTGTGATGACTACAAAAAGCAGCTGGTTGAAGTAGATAATCTTGACGAGCCTCCTCCAGATCACTCTTATTGGCGACCATCAGTACAGGTATCTTACTGTCAACAAAGTACTTCTGGGGAGGGAACATCAGCACAGTATAATATTACTATTCATTAAAGTGTTTAATGACATAATCCATTTGTTAGACATATGCTTCTTGCAGAGGTGACTGTGAAAAATATCACCTCCTGGGATATGGTGCCATGTAGTCCAACAGGTATTCATGGTTATCCCTCCAAGAACCTCAAATCCACTAAAATTATCCTCTACAAGGACGCCACACAAAGCAACAACCACAGATCTGGGAAGCTTAGAAGCAAGAAAGCAAAGCTAGTTTTTTCCGTTTCCTTCCTCCTCATGTGCAAAGACCAACACAAGGTCCCTAGGTTATCTTGTACCAGACTATATGCATCACATCCCAGAAGGCAGTACTTTTCAATACGATCAGACATTTAGTAAAATAAAAATTCAATGTAATCAAACATAACAAGAATCAAACAAGATGACAATATGAGGCAGTCATCAATGAAATATATCTACCCAGACAATTTACATAAAACACTTAAATTTTTCTTTCAATATATTTAATTACTTGATATGATTATCTTTTGCGTGTATTATTTCATGTTACTGTCAGTAGCTGGATGATATAGCAGTGAATGGTAAGGAAACTTATGAATTAGGAATTGGGAAGGAGCTCAAAGAAAGCTGTCATGCAACAGAATCATGGCGGCTGCTGAAACTAGTGAGTTCTTGGCGGTTCCAGTTTTCACTGTTTCAACAGAAGCTAATAATAGAAGTTTATGTAGTTGCTGTTATCAAATTAAATCGAAGTATGAAGAAGTATTATTAGAACTTAGTTCGGCCAAAGAAATTATAAAGCTACTGCAGGTAGAGAGAAATCTCAATGTAAACACAGTTGCTTGTAATACAAATCAGGGTATGGAGTATGATCAACACAACACCAAATTTGATAACTGGGTACAAGCATCTTATGGTAGAAGTAACAGGAGCAGAAAATCATCTAAACAATAACCCCAGTCAATACCAACGATTATAAATCGTTTCGCTCCACTACATAACTTACCTAACCTCAACAATGACAGTACAGTCGTAAACACTTTGGAATATGTGACCGAAATGAACGGGGTAAAGAAGCAGAAGTCATATTCGTCTAATCAAGTCAGTATGACTAAATTTTCTCAATTATCGAGTACCTTCGGGGCACATAAGAGCATGGTGAATGTATACAACAAAAAGGTTGGAAATAAGAGTAAGCGTAAAGTAGTAATTATAGGTGACAGTCACTCCAGAGGATTGGCAAAAGAAGTGAAGTTTCATCTGGACAAGAATTATGAAGTAATTGGTCTTGTTAAACCAGGAGCGGACACTGCGAAATAGTGACTTCAGCAATGAGTGACGCAGTGTATTTATTGAAAAGTGATGTGGTCGTGTTCTGCGGTGGTTCCAATGCTGTGAGCAAGAACAAGGCCAGTGTAGCCCTAAAATATATTTCAGACTTTGTAAAGGCTAATAGCAACACAAATATCATCCTACCAAGTGCACCACACAGATATGATTTGATGGATTTCTCCTGCGTTAATAATGAAATTAAAATATTCAATAGGAAGTTAAAGAAATATGTCAAAACCAATACACATACATCAGTTCTAGAAAATGATCTCAATAGAGAATTCTTTACAAAACATGGGCTGCATCTAAATGGGCAAGGGAAAGAAAAGATTGCCATTCAAATAGTAGCTCAAATTTCCACCATCTTAGGGAGAAAAGTAGAAGGTTTAATTAGCTTAGGATGGAAAAATGATCAAATAAAGGGAGATACCACCATAGTACCTGAAAATAGAAATGAAATCCTCATAAATAGCGAGAATGAATTTAACCAACTGGCCACCTTAGATCCCGTAGAAACTTGTCCCAGAACATCAAACAGGCAAAAGAAAGTTCCAGTGACCAGGAAAAATGATTTTTTATGGTAAATGATAATAACAAGGTACCCGATATACTTCAGATCACTTCCCCCAACTCATCCACTGCCACCCTACATATAAATACGCAATCTCAGATAGGTTGTGAGCTGTAGAACATGTTCCTGCAGTTAACTCTTTCAAGATATACCATCAGAATTTCCGGGGACTGAATAAATCTCAGCCTAAGCTTAAAAGATTAAATGTACTTCATCAAAATATAAGAGGGCTCCGGCATAAAATTGTTGAATTGACTTGTATGCTGTATAGCCATGACTTAAGTCCACACATTATTTGTATCACAGAACATTGTTTGGTAGAGCAGAAATTATTAACAATAAAACCTGAAAATTATTATTTGGCCTCCAACTTTTCACATCAATATAATATTGGAGGTGGAGCATGCATCTACTGTAAATCCGATCTGAGCTGTAATGTAGTGAATATTTCTAAATATTGTATTGAAAAGGTCATAGAGGCTTGTGCAATTCAGATGAAAATTGGTAACAATATTTTTATATTTTTATGTATCTATAAATCTCCTAGTGGTAACATCCAAGAATTTGTCAATCAACTAGAAATAATTTTAAAATTTTTATATAAGCCTAAGTTAGAAATTATATTGTGTGGTGATTTTAATGTAAACTTTTTAAGTAATTCAAACAATGTTCACCAGATAATCTCACTTTTGTATACATATAATTTATGTCGCGTTGTCGACTTCCCTACAAGGATAACCAAAGAATCTAGCACTGCTATAGACAATATATTTTTGGATTATAATAGGTTAAACACTGTTCAAGTATATTTGGTAATGAATGGGCTCTCAGACCATGATGCACAATACTTGATGATAAATAATGTTTTTGAATCTCAAGTAAAGAACAACAGGCTTGTTAGGAAAAGACTAATAACCAAGTCTACAGTCTTAAAATTTATTGACATGTTACACAATGAGGAATGGGACAGTACCCTGGATAACACAGATGTTAATGCTAGTTTTAATAAATATTTGAGTACCTTTTTAGTTAATTTTGAATCATGTTTTCCTATGCAATCTGTGGTAAATACTGTGTATAATAATCAGTGGATTACTAATGGAATTAGAGTGTCCTGTAGGCGTAAAAA